TAATTGTACACAATTTGCTGGATTTTATGAGGGATGTGCTGTGTTCTTACCCGAGTGACCCCGATACTCTAGTGCCCTGCACTGATTATGCCGGCGTCCAATCTGTGACCTGAGTAAATGCTGGTCAGGCAATAATAGTGTCCAAAAGCGCATCGTGGTCTTGCCTCACCCCGGTCCCGTTATAACTGCCCGCACAATTGCCCTTCACCGGGTAAATATCAGGGTACTGTTTTTTTGTGTCCAGCCTTCACCTTCAAATCGCCTTTCCTGAGCGTCAATCAGCAGGTCATTACCGTAGGTTAGCAATTTGCGCTATGCCTTTAATCACCGTTGTTTCAACTCAATGTCAGCCTCTTCGCCAGTGCTGGCCCCGGTACCTGTGAGGCGCCAATAATGTGAGTTTTAGACCCGAAAAAGTTCTTCTGAATATCCAATGTGTACATGACTATCATACCAGACAATGACGGAACAAAGAATAAATAAACGAGGGCTCAAACGCAGTAGTTTACCCCTTGTTATCTCTTCGGATAAACAGACGCCAACAGTGCGAGTTTTCTTCCTATGTAGGGATGTGTCCGGTATCCAGGGCAAGAGCCAGATGATTTTGTGCTCGAAGTCATTCGCACTGTGAGTCAAGGTCCACATGACGGCTGGTGCTGTCTGGGTTAAAGCGTCATGCTTGGAGAAAATCTAGCGACTGTTTAGTATTAGTTATGGCGAGCATTTTGATGGCGCCCATGGCCATCGGCCATTATGGGCAAGGGATCATGCTGCTATGCCGCCAGAGGAAGTCCATAAATACGAGGCCCAAGACTTTGGTGTATGTGTGAGAGCAATTTTCTCATGGGACGCACTAAATAACGCTATCTGAATGCTCTTCGTAGACGTTTGTGCCAACACCGCACCCAGGACTGCTAGCACCAATATGGTTCGAGTTTCGCGTGATGGTTTTCAGAGTTCTTTGAATGCAGTGCACACCCTTGCCAGTTGAAATGAGCACGGTTCTTCGTGCCTGGCGTTTGCGGCAGTTTTGGGCAAGGGTCTTGGCACCGATGCGAACCGTACCAGCCGTCATATAGGTTCTGACACAATAAAAGGCCTGTCAGCCCTGCAGTCTCCCCTCCCACTGACCCTTTGCATCATGCTACGTCATTTCACCATCATCCCAGTACTCCTAACCCCTCATCCTGATGATAGTCACTTTAATCTCCTTGCGTTTGCGTTTTACCCCTAGCTTTCGTGTTTGCTTTAGTACGACAGTTCCACTTCTGGTTTATTCCGTCTGTCCGTCTGGCTGTGTTTGCTGTTGCTTTTTCCACCTCGGAATTTCTTAAGTATAGGTCGACTCTTCTGCCGAGCCTCTTTTTCTTCATCCATGCCAACTGGAAAGGCATTATATTTGTACGATACTGCCTATTCATTCGTTCCAACCCCGCCGATACAAACAAAGTAACCCTTAAATTAAGATGGCGCAATTTCATTTTTCCGGAATTGACGGTGCCCACATGTACTGTCTTGTTTTCCTTTCTCTGGGCGGCTTTTCGTGTTCTTCAGATTTTTATGTGTTGTTTTAACTTCCTTTCCCCTTCGCTCTCTCCGTAGGATCTCTCCATCACACTGAGAGATTTGCTGCAACAGCCCTCGGTCGCCACGAGTGGAACTTCCAGTCCGCTTATCAACCAGCACAGTGGTAGCAATTTCCGCGAAAAGCTGAAGCGTCGCTTTGCCAACGGCAAGGCCTGGTGTAGGCGCAGTCCCAGTGTTTTGTCCTCCGCTGGCAAGTCATCCTTTGATGAGGAGACCTACGTCCTCCTGAAGGACGTGGATAGTTCAGACTCAGCGCCGCCCCTACCGCCAATGCTGCTGTCGAGGACCTACGGTATGGAGCCGCCGCGTGGACTGCATCAGCGCACA